AAAACCTGGAAGAGCGACCTAGGTAAAAGTTAGAGCATAAAAAAATTGGAAATAAAGAAAAACTGAGCTCGTAAGGTTGAAAACCCTAAAGGGCGGACTTGGCAAAAGTTAGAGCGCAAAAGGAGAGTGTTAATACTCGAGTGTACCCGAACCGAACTACGTATGGCCTGATTCCCATCTTTGGGATACGTAGACAACTTCATCCTGAAGTTTGGCCATAAACACCTCTCACTCAGCTATCATGTCCATGTGTTGATCAAGTCATCTTTGTCTCTTCTTTATCTGAATGTTCAGTTGTGATCCTCTTTGAGAATTGGTTATAGTGTTGAGCAGTGTTATTTAGAGAATGGGCAATTTTCCGTCTTCAAATTCGGGGTTGTATATCTCGAGGATAGGTTCTGTGCATGTCAAGTTGTGATCCTTATCAAAAATGGTTTTGAAAAGTTGTGATAAAAGTTGATTTTTGCTCAAAATTTACCTTTTACAACTTAGACCCTTTTTGGACTAAAAGGAAAATTTTCAGTGCTCACAACTTCAATTTCATTGATTTCAATACAAAATTCTTCAACTCTTAGTACAAATCAAAGTTGTTTGTATTACATGCATAAAACTTGAAAAGTAAGAACAAAGAAAATAAACTAGGGGCATAGATAAGTCAGGTGTTCCTGCGTCCCCTGCTTGTGCTTGTGGAAACTTCTGATGCTAAAATGGGTACATATTGCGCCTTATCTTCAAGCCAAGTCAAGCACTCGCCAGAAAGGGCGCAGTTGAAACTAGGGGCAGGAGCCAGAAGCTCTTTTGTCATCCAAGCAGTGAGGTACCTAGCTAAATGTGAACCTCAGACCAGGAATGGAACCGGGTAATCTACCCCCTCCTCTAGGCAAGTATGATCATGTCCAAATTGATGCTTGAATCGGAATGGAAAGTAGAATACACAATGTGTCAGGCCAATCAACTCAATGCCAGGTTGCCGAGTCATGAGGTAGCTCATTTCAGTTAGATTAAGCCAGGGATTGCGCCAAGCAATGTCAGTAGCAGACCTGTTGCATATCCAATGGCACCACCACCCTTCATTCGGGAAATCTACTAGCCGTTGGCGAAAAAAGTATGCTCGGGCTGAGTATGCGGGGCAAGAGTCCACTACCTTTAGCTTGTCCATAAGCCATATCTAGAGAGGGATGAGAGAAAAGAGAGATTAAAGAATAGAGAGGTGTACGTTGAGAGAAAAATGAGAAAAGGGTTTTGAAATAAAAACAGAGCATAAGTACCGAGAGATGTAAGAAACACATATTAGAAAGGGTGGGAAACATTACCTGAAGAAGTAGTGGATTTCCCGCGAATTTGGTTGTCTCTCGCCGATGAAAGACATCTAAGCCCATCAAAGTCTCGGCCAACACCAAACCAACGCAACTGTAATGACCCCAAAATGCATATAAGAAATCACTTTTATTTATCTATGAGATGGTGTGTTTGTATTTAATTATGTCTATTAGAATTGGAGCATTATCAGTTGAGTTAAGGACTTAAAATTTGAATTACCGACCTTTATGGGTTCAAAAATCAAAATTGAGTACTTGGGTATGTTAATGGGAATTTTTGGAATTATTTGGGAAAATTAATTTGAAATCTAATTTTTCTGATTCGTTGATGGACGTTGGGTGATTAATTTTATACTGCAAATTAAAGGCCTTAGAAGCTTCAGAAACCAGAACAGGGGACATATTTATGATCAGCATAATTTTTAGAGTTATCTGAAAAGTTTAATTGAGATTTGATTTTTCGCGATTCGTAAGGCCACGTTTGGCTCTCTTTATTGTGTTATGTTGGTGTGTGTGTATATTTATATATATTGGGTGCTTTATGAATGGGTGGACTCATTATTTAGAATCAAAATCAAAAATATCTAGAGAAAAGGGGGGAGCCACGTGAGAGAGGGGGAAATTGAGAACTCAACAAGAAGAAAGATGGAGAAATTAGAAAGGATTAAAGATTGAAGGATGTAAGGCTTAAGGTATGTGTAATTCATTCTAATTGGTTCCTCTCCTTGATAATTAAGTAGGAAGTTCTTCATGTTTTACAAATTAGGGTTATGTATGGAACAAGTAAGTGGTGAATGATTAATTAGAATCATGTTTCTTGAGCTTGACTATGTAGCTAAATGATCATGTGTGTATATATATGTCTATGTATGTGTGAAGATGGGAATGTTATGAAATGAAGTTATGTTTGTAAATTAAGATCAAAGATTCAAATTGTAGGAAGTTGATCTATTTTATGGCTTCTAATTACATGATTTTGACCCATGTTTACCAATTAAAAGACCCTATTTTGAGCCTTGAACAAGAGCACCAAAAATTGGATTTTTGCTGAATTTTCGAACAGCTTTCTGCCCAAATCGCCGCACGTGCGGGGCTTCTTGCCGCACGTGCGGAAGACAGCTTGTTCAGCCAACTTTGATCAAGCATAACTTTTGCATTCGGACTCCGTTTTAAGTGATTTGAGCCTAAAATCAAGCCCCGGAAGTCTAGTTTCTAATGGCGCCAGTCTCACTCTCAAATTATAAATACAGGAATAGTTATGCCCAAATTAGTGACGACTGGTCACTTTTTATCAACTGATTTTGCCCCTTTTCTTCACTTAAACCATTTCCCATCGATTTCTCCTATTTTCTAAGGCATGGATTAGACCTTATTAAAGCATAATGAGTGGTACCACCATGACTAATTGATTAAATGACTAAAGAGAATAAGTAAAGGATCGAGTATAACCTCATATTATGTGTTGTGCTTTGTAATTGTAGATCGACACGAGGACATTGTACCATTACCATCGGGAACCGATCACTGTGAGTAGTAGTACAAGAATGTAAACTTTATATACTATTGACAATTATTGTCACTAATGCTCTGTTCTTTGCAAGTATTATTCAAACATTATAACAATTGGAAAGCAATGTGAGCTTATATGAACGCTGAAAGATTTGCGTACGTCGGTATGATTTTGGAATCCTTATCGTGATGAACAAGTGGAATGTATGAGCATTATAGAAGTATGGTATCTACGTATCTTTGAACTCATACAATTTGTATACTGTGCTTACCTTTTAGTAATAATTATCAGAATGTTCAGTTAAACTGAAAGTTAACTATGCTAACTCCTATGAATGATGCCACGATTACCATTGACACACTCTTAATTGTAAACTAACTATGTTAATGTATATGAACACTTACACCATTGTGTTACTTTTGTATGCTACCAAGTGAACTACGTCAAAGGATTTATGTTACTCTTGAAAGATCGGCTTCTATGGAAATATGAGGGTATACTGTTTGTTATTAATGAACCACAGGCCATTCAATTACAAGTTATCAAGTAAGTGTGGTCACCTTCGAAAAATCAGAACAAGTGAAAAGAGCTATGTATACCCATATGAACTTGAAGTTATTTTGATGTGTTACATAAGAATTCTGATTTTGTTATGATTCAAGCTTCATGACTATGTATGACTTTGTTTCCGTTTATATATATGACATGATATGTATGATTTGGTCTGTAAATATATGAAAATCATGAGGCCTATGGCCATTATGTGAAAGATACAATATGTTGGAAGATATAATTTGTGAAGTAAGAACCTCCACTTTGTGAATTTATGAACTTATGGAAACATCAAAAGAGTTTAAGAAGCTACGTGTGCCATGTGAGAAACAATGTAAAATTATGAAGGCTTAAAAGAAATCGTGAAGTTACGAACCTTTGTGGCCCTTGCCCGGGGGTAATAATACCGTAGTTTAAGAATACATGATTTTGTGAAATATTGTGAACTTGTGAACTATGAAGCTATGTGGCCAAGGGCCATTTGTGAAATATGTGAAAGGTGAATCTATGAGGCTGAGGGCCAATTTGTGAAGCTATGAAGTTATGAATCTGTTAGGCTGGGGCCCAAAGTGCGAATGTGTGAACTCTTTAGGCCGAGGGCCAATCTGTGACTTTGTAACCGACAAGATCAATCTGAACTTAAGACATAATTAAATTAAGTGCTCTCTTTATTTATATAAGCATTGATATGTTTTATGTTCAAGTTAAGCATTGTTTTATTTAAGTATTGCTATTCACTAAGCTTGGCTCACTTCATGTTACGTATGTTCTGTAGGTATCCTACCTGAAGGTCAGTCTTAACCTGTGGGATCCACTCTTTTTGGTGTCAACCCCGGAGAGTCCAGGCACTTAAGTAAAGACAGCCATTCTATGGAGTTTTATTGAGCTTTTGGTTTATACCTTGATTACCTACCTAAGGTTGAAGTGTATATAATCCTTCTTCTTTTTACTATTTTTGTTGTGCCCAATTATGAGGGCTGAGTCTATATATGTATATGTTTATAACTAAATTTTCCGAGGCATACTACTACGTATTTGTTTGCATTATGTTCAGCTTATGATCCTGGCTTAATTCAAGTCGCTCAATGGATATAGTTTTCTTTTATATGTTCGTTTATATTGTCAAATGCTTCCGTTCAGGCCCCATATGTTATGTATGTCAGGTTAAGAGTCCGGTTGAATAGGTAATATTTAGTGCTTCCGTTCAGGCCCCATATATATAGATATAAAACAGGTTAAGTGTCCGTTTCTGAAGTGGTCATGCCCAAACTTCTAGGGGCAGGTTTGGGGCGTGACAAGTGGTATCAGAGCATGAGTTGCTATCTCACACACGACTCCATTGAGCTTTAGGATGTCTAGAAAATATTTAGGCATCATGCATGACATCCTTAGTGCATATGAAAGAACTTGGTGGCAACGTTAAATGTTCTACCTGCTACTCTGATGACTACCATCTATATCTGTTTTATGTCCTTTTATTGCCTCTGTTTATCTTATATAGGCTGGTGAAGAATGCAAGACATGTAATGTGAATATTGCACTGCGGAAGCGTGGTAAGGATTTGAACTGATCGGTAAGAATTAATTGAAATTTATATTATGAGTTCATGGTTATCTGTAGGAAATCTAAAGGTATTATTGGGCAGTGCATTCTGTATACTGTTGACAAGAATACTAATATTCTGTTATTTGCAAGATAGCTATAGTGGTTCGTGATGAACAAGTGGAATGCATGAGCATTATAGAAGTATGGTATCCACGTATCTTTGAACTCATACAATTTGTATACTGTGCTTACCTTTTAGTAATAATTATCAGAATGTTCAGTTAAACTGAAAGTTAACTATGCTAACTCCTATGAATGATGCCACGATTACCATTGACACGCTCTTAATTGTAAACTAACTATGTTAATGTATATGAACACTTACACCATTGTGTTACTTTTGTATGCTACCAAGTGAACTACGTCAAAGGATTTATGTTACTCTTGAAAGATCGGCTTCTATGTAAATATGAGGGTATACTGTTTGTTATTAATGAACCACAGGCCATTCAATTACAAGTTATCAAGTAAGTGTGGTCACCTTCGAAAGATCAGAACAAGTGAAAAGAGCTATGTATACCCATATGAACTTGAAGTTATTTTGATGTGTTACATAAGAATTCTGATTTTGTTATGATTCAAGCTTCATGACTATGTATGACTTTGTTCCCGTTTATATATATGACATGATATGTATGATTTGGTCTGTAAATATGTGAAATGTGAATCTACGAGGCCAAGGGCCATTTGTGAAATATGTGAAATGTGAATCTACGAGGCCAAAGGCCATTTGTGAAATATGTGAAATGTGAATCTATGAGGCCGAGGGCCATTTGTGAAATATGTGAAATGTGAATCTATGAGGCCGAGGGCCAATTTGTGAAGCTAGAAATCGTGAAGTTACGAACCTTTGTGGCCCTTGCCCGGGGTTAATAATACCGTGGTTTGTGGCCCTTGCCCGGGGGTAATAATACCGTGGTTTAAGAATACATGATTTTGTGAAATATTGTGAACTTGTGAACTATGAAGCTATTGGGCCAAGGGCCATTTGTGAAATATGTGAAATGTGAATCTATGGGGCCAAGGGCCATTTGTGAAATATGTGAAATGTGAATCTATGAGGCCGAGGGCCATTTGTGAAATATGTGAAATGTGAATCTATGAGGCCGAGGGCCAATTTGTGAAGCTACGTAGTTATGAATCTGTTAGGCTGGGGGCCAAAGTGCGAATGTGTGAACTCTTTGGGCCGAGGGCCAATCTGTGACTTTGTAACCGACAAGATCAATCTGAACTTAAGACAGAATTAAATTAAGTGCTCTCTTTATTTATATAAGCATTGATATGTTTTATGTTCAAGTTAAGTATTGCTATTCACTGAGCTTGGCTCACTTCATGTTACGTATGTTCTGTAGGTATCCTACCTAAAGGTCAGTCTTAACCTGTGGGATCCACTCTTTTTGGTGTCAACCCCGGAGAGTCCAGGTACTTAAGTAAAGACAGCCATTCTATGGAGTTTTATTGAGCTTTTGGTTTATACCTTGATTACCTACCTAAGGTTGAAGTGTATATAATCCTTTTTCTTTTTACTATTTTTGTTGTGCCCAATTATGGGGGCTGAGTCTATATATGTATATGTTTATAACTAAATTTTCCGAGGCATACTACTACGTATTTGTTTGCATTATGTTCAGCTTATGATCCTGGCATAATTCAGGTCGCTCAATGGATATAGTTTTCTTTTATATGTTCGTTTATATTGTCAAATGCTTCCGTTCAGGCCCCATATGTTATGTACGTCAGGTTAAGAGTCCGGTTGAATAGGTCATGCCCAAACTTTTAGGGGCAAGTCTGGGGCGTGACAGGGGACCAGGAGTTCTCTCATCCTCCATGCGGTGGCCTGCCAAGCAAGCTGTGCGCCTCGGGCTGGGAATGCAGCAGGATACTCTATCGCCTCTGGCGGGCAGGTCTGATCATGGCCAAATTGGCGTCGAATCCGAAATGGGAAGTAGAATACA